CTTGGAGGCTTTAACTGTCATCGAAGCATGTCAATCACCAAGACAAATTACTGGGATAGGCTGGATTGCTTTTATAGTAAAGTTCGTACTCAGATATACCCTAATATATCGTGATCTATCAAGTACTTACGAGTTAAGACTTATCTTCCCTTGATGCAGTTTGACTTAAATCCTGTCACTAACTTTTGGTTGGGGGATATGTTCATCCAACCGCTTCATACAACGCGTGTGTGATTCCAGAGAGTTGTCTACTTTGCACGTCGTCTATCCCGCAATATTTTACAGTATTTAGCGATCTGTGTAATCTCCTGGGTTGCTGTTAGAGGCTCAATGGACGAAAGATGGTGTCAAACTTTAATCTCATCAAGTTGAAGAGTTACTGCCGCCACCGTAACCGAGGTATTCTCAAAATAATTGACTCTGTGAATTATTGAAAATAATTGTTCAACAAAATACTCTTAGTACAGACCTATCATCGAGATCTAATTTATAAGATAAACACAAGCAATCCATTTTATATTTCGTTTCCAATCAAAACATAAGAACGAAATACCATATTATATATGCAAATATTTATGATCAATCTATGTATTGTTAATATTTACGGAAGGTAACTATGTAATAAAAAGCTAACAATATAATCATTTTTGATATTTGTGGTCCAAGTTGATCTTTTATTACACATTTCCTCATATTTGTTACTTTAGGTGGGACGATACTGAATTGAAACAATGGCTTAGCTTAAGTTGCAGAGCACAAGTATTATTCGTGTGAAAAACTGTGTCCAAATAATTTTCTGTTAGGTTTAAGAGCGGATCCGATTTAAAACATAAGGATTATCAGTACCCCCAATCTCTTCCCCCCCCCCCCACCCCCCCTTATCATCATAATACAAATCTGCCTTATGTAGCTCTTAATTCTATTTATTCTACCCATATCGTCGACTGCTTTTGTGTATGATTTGAATGTGTACAAAGATCTATGGTCAACTCTTTCTATCTTGGATCACTATGAAAATATATTGTTAATATTTACGGGAGGTAACTCTTGTAAAAATACTTTTGTTAGAAGATCAACTCAGACGACAAATATCAGAAAGGATTTTATTTGTTTGGTTTATTGAGACTTGTTTCGATGACAACACACAGAGAAAACATAGAAAATCATAGTAAGAGAAGAAATTAGTAGGAAGAGCAAACTTTTTCAAATGATGAAATTCTGGACTACCTTCCTTAGACGAACTTATGTGAATAGTTAAATCTCTATTTGCATCATGTCGATTTCTTGCCTGACGTCTGTTGTTCCTAAATTCTATTTTGACAGATTTCATTAACCCGTTTTACATTGCAAAATTTATCCTTTCTCAGAACAATTCTTGGGAGGGCTTTGCCCCCCTTAAATCAAATCTTGCCCCCCCCCCCCCCCCCCTAGAAAAATGTACCGGTCACTTTTTTAAAATACACCTTATCTTTTTCCTGAGTCAATAGGAGCGGCAGGTAACTGAGTCTGAGTGAATAGCAAACAGTGGTCATTCTGGTCAGGCATTTTATGGTGGAGTAATTGCACTTGTCAGCTGCTATATTTTGATTATACGTAACGAAAAATAAGGTTATGGCTTTCAGGGCTGCGTTATGCGAAATGGTTCAACAAAATACTAAGTATTCCTATCTGTAGACCTACTTAAGAACTGTTTTTAAATATCTTTCTGTTTATTCTTAGCTGAGGATGAAACCAGACATCATAGCTTTTTAAATTTAATTACTTTAGAATAGATGATTTGATACAATTGAGTTCGTTGAAAATCATAAAAAGTCTGCAGTAAAGCGTCATTGGTAAAAAAATTATTGGTCTGATACTGGATTGTAATCTGTCCCGTCTCAAAATTCAAAAGATTTGATTGGTTGATTATCAATACTAACTAATAGACATAAATTATCCTAAATTGTATTCATATGAATCAAACAACCAAACGTAGGAATGGATAAATATTTGATCAAAAAAAAAAATTGGTTCCGACACTACTACGACTGACACTGGTATCAAAACCACAGCGGTCAACACAACGGATGCAGTACCAATATGCTCTAAAATGGATAAAATACGCCAGATATAGGGTGTGGGTTCAAAACAACAGTAAACCTATTTTCAAATATTTTCAAACCTTCCAGAATGATCACCACGGGCGACTGACACTGGTATCAAAACCACAGCGGGCAACACAACGGATGCAGTACCAATATGCTCTGAAAAGACAGGAGTACCAGGTGACATTGGAAAAGGAGACGTTCCAAAGCAGCCGAGAATAAAATTTCCAGCGAAGTCTGGGCGCCATTTTATCTAAAATAATCTAATCTAAAATACTCCATGAAAGAACGTTTCCCGACGTTTAATCGTCTGTCAAGGTGCTTTGCTAAATTGCCCCCCTCGATTGCACGTTTGCCGGGATCGGGATCGGGACAATTAACCGCATTTCAGATTTGATTGTCTGTATCTAGCAAAAAATAATTTTCGACCTACAAAAAAGCGGAATGTCCCTTTAAGAAGATCATAAATAACATAACCATTTGGCAAACATTTATTGACTTGATCACATGTAATAACATTTAAAGATGGGTTCCCTTAGTTTCATGTATGAAAATGAAAATGCTAATACTTTTATGAATAGAAAGTAGAGGTGTTCTAATGACTTGGAAAAATACCAGTTTGTCTCACATGTCTATAATTAATTCATAATTAGCTAAATTAGAAGAGAATTGTCAGCAGAATTCCAATGAGTGACCGATCAAGAAAGGTCAAAAAGTCCTTTTTTGTTTATTCAGACTGCACATACATGGACATTTATGATAGGTTAAAATTCTAAATTATATGCAAATAATGATATGATTGAGAATACATGCTAATTCATTAGAAACGCCAATCAATCAAATAGTTTGCTTAATTTGACACTAACAAATAAGGAAACCCACCTTTAAATATAATTAATCATAAAATGAATATTTTTTGTGTACTATACATTTTCCTACTTTTATATATCCATCAGTGCCACAATTTATTAATATATATTGAAAAAAGAAACAACGTTTTGTATCAGGATAAGCTGGTCCTTCCATTCATTATCTGTCATAATTACTAGTTCTTCACTATTGATTGTTCATACTGAACTACTCGCATCAGTTTTTTCTTTTCTACAACAGTTAGAATAAACAAAACTGTTTATTTTTTACACAACAGTTGTTCAGTATTAAATATAGACACCGAACAACTAGAATATCACATAGTATTGTCAATGTTGTCTACACTACACTACAGTTAACAGCTATAACCATAACCACCGTTTACTTAGTTCACACTGCGACATTTGTTCATTATATTGTTCATACTAAACTACTGTTCATTATATCTACTCTACGGCAGCTGCTCACTAATGAATGTAGATACTGACCAGCTAGAATCTAAGCCACTGCTCAGTTTGTTCACAATGCAACAACCGTTCACTATTGAATGTTCATACTAAACTACTTGCATCATTTTTTTCTATTCTGCAACAGTTGTTCACTAATAAATGTGGATACTGAACAGCTAAAATCTACACAACTGTTTATTTTGTTCACACTACAACAGTTGTTCACTATTAAATTTAGACACTTAAGTAGAATATCACATTATCGTAATTAACTACATTATCGTAATTAACTATGTAGACTCTGACCACTGAACAATGAGCTATAATCTGTTTATTTTGTTCATACTGCGACATTTGTTCATTAGTGAATGTAGGTAATGACTAGATAAAATCTAGACCATTGTTCATTTCGTTCACACTACATGTACAACAGTTGTTCATTATTGAATGTTCACACTAATTACGTTATGTCTGTTTTACAACAGCTGCTCACTAATGAATATAGATATTGACTAGTTAGAATCTAAACCAATGTTCACACTACTTGTTCATTATTGAATGTTGAATGCAACATTTAATCACTGTTCATTTTGTTCGCACAACAACAGTTGTTCATTATTGAATGTTCATACTAAAATACTGTTCATTATGTCTGCTCACTAATGGATATAGATATTGAGTAACTAGAATCTAAACCACTGTTCACATTACTTGTTTATTATTGATGTTCATACTAAATTACTCGCAACTTAAACCATTTTGTTCACACTACCACATGTGTGTACTAATGAATGTAGATATTAACCAGATATAATCTAAATCACTGCTAATATGCCTTTGAAAGATTACTGCTTATTTTGTTCACACTACACATGTTCATTATTGAATGTTCAAACTAAACTACTGTTCATTATGTCTACTCTACAGCAGCTGCTCACTATTGAATGTAGATACTGACAGTTCATACCTTACAACTGGAATCTAACACACTTCTTCATTTAGTCACCACTACAATTGTTGTTCACTTGGATTTTGACAATGCTGCATGGAGAATGTGTTCGGAAATGCCATTGGTAGGCCAGCTGCTTCCATTATTTTTTGATACAGCTTCTCCTTCTTGTGAAAGAAACGTCGTTTACAGCCTAGTAACCATCGTGCATCTTTTTGGAAGTCGTATTCTGAAACAGAAACAGATGGGCATTATTAATTTGTTTCTCCAAAAGGAATCCTGAATTGATAAAGGAAGTTCAAGAGAAGTAAATTCTCTCAAATTATATACCTGTATATATAATCTGTACCCATGGTATAAAGAAAACTCCTCAAGCAATGACAATCATACTTCTACGAGTAAACGTTTACACTATGTTCCCGGTGGCCAAGGCAATCACGGTACAGGTAAAAAATATTGTCACGGCAGTCACGGCGCGGAACGTAATAGGTCGTATTGTCAGGATGATTTGCCTATTCCACCCCGACCTGAGGAGTGCTTACCGTGGCCGCCGGAAACGTTTTTAACGTTGAGCTTTTGCGTCTACAAACCAGTGACAGATATGCACTAAATGAACCGGCAAATCGATTTATTTCATTGTTTTATTGACTAACCTGTTTTAAGAAGATCTTCCAAAATCTGTTCAAATCGTTTGATATATTTACTATGAAGGAGGGTGTAGAGTACGGTATGACCATTACTATCTGCTTTATTCACGTCACACCCGCTCTGTATCATGTACCTGGCTGACTTTTCAGAACCTTCAGTCAAGGCACAGAATAAAGGACTTAAACCTGCTTTATCGCTGATTTCTGGTGATGCCCCTAACAAATATTATACATCATATAAGAAAAAACCCATGTACTAATGGACGTACCGGACATGAGTCGTGTGGATGTAAAATAAAAGGTACCAATGATCCAAACAACACAACAAACCCGGTATCCAAAACAACACATTGGCAAAATTGTTAAAAACTCCTAAACCATAGTCCTACCCTTCATCCTAAGTAAGCATATGAACACCATATAACTTACCATATAACTTACCATATAACATAACTTACCATATAACTTACCATATAACATAACTTACCATATAACATAACTTACCATATAACATAACTTACCATATTTAATAAGAGATTTAAGAATCTTATCATAGTCAAAGTAAGCTGCTTTTAACAGTGCCGTTTCCCCTGCGATGTTCCTAACATCGGCTACTGACGAATCTGTAAATGAAATCTGTACAACATGTAAATCCTAGATACAAAATTCATGCATCCATAATTCATAAATACATGTAAATATATGATAATGGCGGATGGGCGGGGGTGGTGGTTACCCATATGGGTATGTCCTGCATTGAACTGACTGGTCGCAAATCCCATTCTCGTCACTGCTCGACGACATGATCCAAATATTTCCATATTATTCAAGCTACCAGTCGCAATGTCATAATTACACTTGATCTGCATGAAAGGACGAAAGGATTCGGCATTATTAAGCTAGTACTACTACTTTCTACCAGTAGGTGTGGGGTCCGTGTGGTCTAAACTCTTGTTAATGGTCTTCCACGGATTGCCGATTTGATTGGAATAAGTCAAATGATCAAGGTAAGAACTTATGGCAATTGGTTTATTTTTTAAAGAACAACCTGGCCTAAACTACGCCATTTAAAAGTATGTAGTTCTTAAATGGAGTGAGACAAATTCGATTTGAGAGAGATTACAATAGGTGTCATATTAAAGGGATCATAAGGAGGTTTTCCAGCCTTTTATTGTGTATTAGGCAAACCTGTGACTCCTATTTGGGACATTCTAATTATTTGTCCATTGCCAGTGTTTTCTGCAATTTCAGAAAGAGTTAACCGGAAATGACGCAGCTCCCACAAGAGAATTCGTAACCAACCTACCACGAAAACACAATCACATAATAAGATGTTATCTTCCCTTACAAGATGGCTGCATTTCTATCTAAAAATTGCCGACTCATTCACATTTTGACTTATATTGCTTATTTTTAACAGTATGTAAAAGTTGTATGATATTGGTGCAAATCGGAGCTCTAAATATCCTCATTTATGATAAATTGGCCGGTTTAGAATACAGTGAGGCTAACATTTGGTAAACCAAGTAAGTCCACTATTACTAGACTAACATGTAGACTATCAAATAGACGTCAAAGGTGTCCCCAATACACATTAAAAGGCTAGTAAACCTTTTTACAATCCCTTTAAGGATGGATGAGAAAATTGTTCGGAGATTGACATAATAAGCTCCGCCAAATTCAAATTGGCCATCCTAGGCGATGATTTGAATGGTTAGAATAGTCATAACGCCATGCTTTGAATTAACGAAAAATATCAGTTAACAAGATGAAACAAAATTGTAACCTCAATTAATTTGAATGGTTTGCACTAGTCTACTTACCATGTTTTAAAACTTCAATCACAATATCTTGAGAGTTTTTCTCTACAGCTTCGTGTAACACAGTGTTGCCGTTATCCTGGGGAATTTTGGCATCACATCCAGCCCCAAGGAGTTGTTTAGCCAGTTCATTTCGTCTGTAACAGGCAGCCAGATATAAAGGTGTACGTCCAAGATCGTCTCTGGCATCCAATATGTACTCACTAAACTTGTTATTTAAGATCTGAGTGATTTCCCCTTGATTGCCTTCATAAACATAAACATGAAGACAAGTTGACGTGTCTAAATTAACAGATGGACGTTTCTTGCGTGGTTTTATCACCCTGTGGGCCATGTTCACAACATATCGATATTCAGTAGTGTGGAGGCGATAATCTGTGAGATTGAAATAGTACATAACTGATCATTTTATGATGATGATGATTCCAACAGATAACAGATAATCTAACCAAACCAAACCAACGACTACCATTCGACTACCAATCAACAAGAAATACCATGATCAGAACGAGTTTGGAAGAATGAAGGAGACCGAGTAACTCACGCCACACCATCCAGGGCCGAGTTTCACCGCCATGTCATTCGACCCGACCAGATCTAACGAAGAATCAACAACCAAACCAACAACACCGAATCATCCAATTTGATCCAACCCAACTACCAACTACTACGACTACCAACAACTACCTAGTTTGCGATATCAGCATCCGCTGGAAGCGAACGTTAACTTGTCATCTACCAACCAACCAACCAGATGATGATGATGATACTGTTATTTTCTATTCTTGATGAATCAATATGATGATGATAATGTTGTTGTTTTTGTTGCTACTGTTGTTTTTGTTGCTACTGTTGTTTTTGTTGCTGCTATTTTAGGAACAACAATATCAGCAGCAGCAACAAGAACAAATATTGTTGCTGTTGTTGTAAAAATCCCAAAGAACCAGCAACAACTATAACAGCAGAAGCATCAACCACGAACACAGAAACAGCAATAATAGTTATTATTGCTGTTGTTGTTATTGTGGCTGCTGTTGTTGTTTTGCTGTTATGGTTATAGCTGCTGACATGGTTGTTGCTGTTTCTGCTGGCGTTGTTGTTGCTGCTGTTGTTGGTACAACAAAATAACACCATCAGCAGTAACAGCACTAACAAAAGAAGCACCAACATGACAACAGAAATAACGACACCAGAATAAACAACCAAAGGCAGCAGATTAATAGTAGCAGCTGCATTAACAGTAATAACAAAAGCAGCAATAACAGCAGCACCAACAGCAACAACACCAACCATATCAGCAGCAATAACCATAGCAGCAAGTACAATGACAACAATAGCAGCACTAACAGCAACAGCCACAACAAATCATTGTGGATTATTTTGTCATTTTGGGGAAAAGTGAACAATCTGAAAACATTTCTACAATAGGATAATTGATGTCTATTCTCGATAAAATTGTAACATTAATTTCAACATTTCTTATTTTCAAAACATTAACTTCCGTGATCTCTACTGCCCCATATTGGACACACAAATACCCATATCAAATGAAAACTGTTAAACCATTGTAAAAAGAAAAAAGAAAGTGAATTCACCTTTTTGTGTTTGAACTTTATTAACTTGATAAAATACTGTTACTGAGAGGGGAAATTTATGGCCTTGTTGTAAATATTCTTATCTCCACGTGAATCAATCGTAATATTCTAGCTACCTACTTGTTCATTTCTTTAGTGATATCATCGATGTTTCGGGCAATATTTTAATATTATCAATCTAGTCCGAAAGATTCTTTCTTCACCCCTAAAAGACATTTTCTGAATTATTGAAGTCTGCGAGAGCGACGATCACTCTCTAACTTGGACTCCCTGATATTCAAACTGGGTTTCCTATTTTCAGCATCTAGTCGAAATTTAAAGGAGCATTTTGATTTTCTTTTTTAAAATTACCCCTTTCAAGAAAAAAACCAATGAGTTTACAGAAAAAATTCTTTGACAGTTGAAAATTGATTTGATTTTGAAAACTTCAACTTTATCCCAACCAAAGTGCAGACGAAATCGTTCGTATATATCTATTTTCATTGCTTTTAATGATAATATTGCGGATATAAGTCGCGCCTAGGCTGAAAAACTGCTTTCAATGTGTGAAGGGTGAGAAGGAGGGGGTAGCCTTTTCTTTCTTTTCAGTTTTCTTAACGTCCAAATTGGTAATGTGTTCTCCTAAGGCTTGGGATATAAATACGGGGCAGACTGACTCATCTGTGGGAAGGTGGCCTTGTCGCATTAAGCCTCTCATGAAGCATCCGCCACTCTGTTCCACGTCATGAAAATTGGTTCATTAATTGTTGTCTGTGAATGAGTTACGTCCCTTTTAACAATTAAATTCACTACTGAACGTATCGCGTGGCTATAAATAAACACGAGTAATTTTAGCTATATTATATCAACTTGGTGAAGGCGAGGTATTACGCTTTCAATTTATGCTGCAAATAACTGAATTAGGGCGTTACTATTTACTCAGAAATTTGGTTACAATTTAGGCCTTGTCATATAAGAGAAAACTGTTTGTAATTTTACGAGTAAGTATTCAGTTATTGCTTGCTTTTTTGGTTAAGATCAATATGTCTTGTTAATCTAAGCTATAGCTACAAATGTCCAGTGATATTGATATTGTATAGCATGAAGTGAATCACTGAACTGAGCCAAGACATAATGACGGTCATTATAGGCAAAATTATTAATTAATTTCCTAACATTTTACACATTGAAAGATTCCACATTTTTCGTTTTTATATCTCTCGTAAATTCTGTGTAATGTTCAGGTGTGCTATAATTGCGTACTTTGATCTTTGCATTTTGTTTGACTGGGTTTAAGTTGATATTGACCAATACAGTCTTTTTTTCTGATCCTGGTCGGGCTAATGAAATAATTGGGGACTGGTTGTTTACATTAAAATTAGACCAAACTTTCGTTCCATTTTTATTAACTTTTTTTTCAATTTAGCCACTTCAGTTAAGTTTTCTAACGACGTCCCTCTTGAACATTCATCAGTTTGACGATACCGCAAGCCAATAAAATTTCTGCCCTCTCCAACGCTGGGATTTTGTGGCGCTAACAAAAGGTGCGTTGAGTCTCTAATGCTTCTCGGACTACATGTACACCTTTTGTTCGAGTCACAAAATCCCAGCATTGGAGAGGGCAGACATTTAATTGGCTGGCGGTATTATCAAACTGACGAATGTTCAAGAGGGCCTTCGTTAGACCCTTACTGAAGTGGTTAAAAATAATCAATTGTTGATAAAAAAAACAGAACGCAAGTTTGGTGTTTGGGTGTTAAGAGAAAAGAATTCCCATAAAAAGCATGGACCTAGGTCGTGAAGTTAGAACTATATATTTTTAAGTGTTATTAAATTTAGTTTATATGTAGTATCGTGAAGGATAGTTTTTATAAGTAGTGTTGTGAAGGATAGTTTTTATAAGTAGTGTCGTGAAGGATAGTTTTTATAAGTAGTGTTGTGAAGGATAGTTTTTATAAGTAGTGTTGTGAAGGATAGTTTTTATAAGTAGTGTCGTGAAGGATAGTTTTTATAAGTAGTGTTGTGAAGGATAGTTTTTATAAGTAGTGTCGTGAAGGATAGTTTTTATAAGTAGTGTTGTGAAGGATAGTTTTTATAAGTAGTGTTGTGAAGGATAGTTTTTATAAGTAGTAGGGCTGTTTAACTCTTCTATTACCAAATCAGGATGCATTCAGCTGCAGACGAATTTGGCAAATCAAAGCTGAAACCAACAGAAACCACGGTCAAAACGTTCGATGGAAGGGTTTTCAAAGAGAAAAGAGACGATTCGGGACAGTCCAAAGTTGATAATTGTGGAGAAGGTTTTGTTGGAGGCCGCATCAATGAAGTTGGTGATGTATCGCCTGGGTTAAAAATGGGTAAGTGTGACTATATCTACTATAAAATGTAAATCTAAGATTTGTTGAAATAATTCTGGTAACTTTCGAATCTCGTATTATTGTTGATTACACACCAATAAGCCAAAGTCTCTGCTTTGGGCGAGATTGTCCTGGATACCATTCTTCTACCTTATTTTTTAGTGTCAAATTAAGCAAACTATTTGATTAATTGGCGTTTCTAATGAATTAGCATGTATTCTTTATTAAATCATTATTTTCTTATATTGCATATAATTTAAGTTTTAACCAATCATAAATGTCCATGTATGAACAGTCTTGATAAACAAAAAAAAGACTTTAAGACCTTTTTTGATCGGTCACTCATTGGAATTCTGCTGGTAATTCTCTTCAAATTTAGCTAATTATTAATTAAAGACATGTGAGACAAACTGTTATTTTTCCAAGTCATTAGAACACCTCTACTTTCTAATCATATAAGTATTAACATTTTCATTTTCATAAATGACAATAAGGGAACATATCTTTAAGTCCAACAACTTTATTGGACTGTGTTGGATGTCGTTAGCGACGTTTATTGAGAGTTATGTCTACGCTAAAGTTTGAATGTACACGTTTCTGACTTTTCATATAGTAAAGCACTTTCAACTTGTCCATATAGCTATTAAATTTATTTTTCCATTTTACGGAAGCCTTGAAAGATTTCAACAAGGCTAAACTGAAACCAACAGAAACCAAGATTTTGACAGTTGACGGGAGGGTTTTAAAGGAGAAGAGGGATACGTCGGGCCGATGTGTAGTAGAACAGTTACAGACGGGTGAACAAGGCTATATCGGTGATGTACAGTTAGATCTGCAAGTCGGCGAGGTCCTTCCTGGATTGATTATGGGTAAGAAACTTCAAATCTTGAAAGTTTAGATTTGAGCCGTATACAGTATTCTCGAAATCCTAACCTTGGTAGATTAATCACTCACATTAACTTATATTATCAATCAGATAATTGTATGTCTTAAAATTTGGATTTTGTCTTAAATGTAGTTAAGTGTTTGAGAATAAGGTCCCATATGTCCACATTGGCTTCCCGAGATCAAATACTGGACGCAAAATTCAATTTCATAATGCTTGTTATTCCGATTGTCCTTTAAAATGTTATTCCTGAGATTATGACATTTCTTATAGTCATCTGTATTGCATTGGTCTCTATTTTTTTATTCAGATATTAATCTGGGGTTATTCGAATTTGTTTCCGTTTATTTCCAGGTCTGTAGCTAGACATAATTGTTCGGAGGGGCAAGCAATATATCCGCAGGGGCAATGGTGTATGGTGTTTAGTTGTAGTAATGTATTGAGGGGGGAGGGGGGCATGATGTCACTGTTCCACCAAGTAAAAAGGTCAGATTTAACTGACTCGAATTTCTTCATTATATTACCTTGGTATGTCTTTGTTACTTTCAGGTTCTCAAGACATCGCCCATGAACAACACATCATAGATAAATATAACGTGACACACATCCTTAATGCAGCTTCCATGGTGGAAAATATATTCCCAGACAAAATAATATATAAAAACATTCAAATATATGACACACCTGAGGAACCAATCCGCGAGAAATTTGATGAAGCACATAATTTTATAGATCAGGGGAGAAAACTCGGTTGTGTTTTAGTTCATTGCAATGCTGGAATATCACGTGCTGCTACTCTGGTTATATCGTATTTAATGAAGACTGAACAAATGTCCTTCAATGATGCTTATGATTATTTGAAGGAAAGACGTCCAAGAATCAACCCAAACCCAGGCTTCCTATTTCAACTGAAAGAATATGAAAACGAACTTACAACATCGAATAAAAAAATGAATTAAAGTATATAATATTCGATATTATAGTTCTGGATATAATTTTACCAAATTAACAAATCAGCTGTGTGACGATCTGAGTTTGCTGAGTTGACAAACCCAACCGCGTAGTGCTTTCCGATTATTTTGTTTATATTGAATAATCTCTAATTTATATGTTTAGACGGTGTTTGGAATATAAAATTATATTTTGCCTACTCTTACTTGATTATTATTTAATATTGAAATCAAATTGAAGATAAAATATCCGTTCTGAAAAAAGAATAAGAACTATTTGTGGCTCCTACGTTTTTTCATTTTTCGAACTTCAAGGTGACGTTCCAGATAATTATTTTTTTCTTATTATGATCATCACAGTTATTACTATTTGGTTTATTTGCACTTTAGAAATAGATGGGTATGAGTGAACTCCTGTTGTGGTGGTGCCAAAATGCTTATGAAAGAATGTCCATCCCAGATTAGATGTTTGCAAATATCCTCAAAGAAATGCTGATGCAATAGTTCGTCGGTTTTAATCATTTAAGACATATTTGTACAAAGCAGTGAACAGTACACAACCAAGGCCATTGTGCATGGTATTTAGTAGTCGAATTGATCGGTTGACAGGGTTTTTCAGTGGGGATGGGGTGTGGGATCCACTTTTAAGGGGTGGGAGGGAGGAAGCAACGAACATGAGCCAGCCTATATAAAAAACAAGACTATAATGTCATTTAGAGTTTAGAATTCTGTTGACTAGGAACTGCATGTAGATATCTGTTAGCGATCCTTCAGTCGACGGTTTAGGTATTGAAAATCTAATCATAAACATTTACATTTATTGACAAACAAGAGCGACTGGAAGATAGCCGCTACATTTTGACATCATCCAGTTTTTATTGTCACAAGTATGAAGAATGTCACTCTCCTTTTCACACAAAATATTGGTAACAAAGAGATTCTCAGCACCCCTCTTAACTTCTCCACCATTAAACAATCGTCCATTACTATATCCAAGTTGACGACACGCTGTCCGTACTTCACTTTCCTTCCACCCTCGGGAACACACTGGTCTCCATTTACCCTGATGGTAGAGTTGAAGTCGACCTCGACTACGTGATATATAACCATCATTATCTACTACTCGTACCATATGATCTGAAATGAAAATGGCAATGATCTCGTGGATGATAAATCAACGAAGAATGTTAAATCCCAGATTAATAAGAACTGTTGCAAGCAAGGCCTGTTGTATTCACCTTTTTTCGGACGATCTGAACTGAATTTGGAATTACTTTTAGTTCTTGGTATGTTTAAAAAGGGTGACGAAATATGCAGTTCAATTTGAAAGGAGTTTTGCAAATGTTTTCTAATCTTTTGAGCTGTATCGGGGTCATGTATTTCTGTTCCAGTCACGGCTCCTTATAATTAATTAGAAATTTTTGACAAAGTGTCAGAAAACGCTATGTTTAAGTGGAATTAAAAGACCCATAATCTGCCTGAAAATTGGAATGATGCATAGTGTGGGTATCAGTGTCCGCAATAAATATAAATACATATAGGAACGAATGCCTCCTACAATCCGTTTAATTTAACTAACATCAAGCTAAATGATATTTTCATTTAGACTTCATAATAATTTAGTTAGGTTATTGAACGAAATTATAATTCACGTATATAGAAAACCTCTTTGATTTCATTTAAGATGCACTTCAGTCTACCTGCAGTGAAACAGTACGTGTCTAATAAACCTATTATTATTATTTATATATTAATATACAGGATGCAGTATAAAGAACTATAATGTTATTGTAACCAGATTCCGCCGTGATTAATCTGTCAGTATAAATTAATGGTGAACTAAACCTTGCTTTATTACCCCCGTTTTTATACTTATAACTTATATATAGACTGCAGATTTGTTTTGACTGGAGTTTGTAATTACCAATTCCAATACTGAATACTTTAATCTTAGTATCAGTAAACAGTCCATTGCTGGATAGAATCAGCGGATATAGACTACGTATATAGACTATTATGACTGAAGGCATGGGTACCTACATCTTCACAATGTCAAGCTATTACGATCTTAGTACTGATAAAGTTCGTAATAGCTTGACATTGTGAAGATGGGGCACCCAGTGCAGTGCTAAATACTTAATGCAATTCTCTCAACCGATAACCTAGGAAATGTAGAAGATAAATGAAGCATCCTGTAATAGATTTATAATGTTCTGACACCAGTTTATCAAATATTATTTCACAGCGTTTGAATATGATCTGATCACTCCCTTTATTTGATCTTATTTTCAGTACCTTATACTGTTAATGAATGCACAGTTCCAGATCGAATGTCCAAACTTAACCCCACGTACTATTAAAGGGATTTTATATAGAGCGTTCTAGTCTTGGTTTGTTTACGGAGACAGTTTCTATTTGTATACATTCCGAAGTCCTGTCAGTGGTTTCCGTACGTCCGAATTGACTTGTAAAAGTTGAATGTATTTGTTCTTTAATCATCAATATCGTGTAAAATAGCTCCCCAAAATAAAGACCCAGAATGCTACTTACCACAAACTATTCCTAGATCTTCAGCATGATTACATCTGGCTAGATCGCGACTCTCGGTTATTACAGGACACCTCTGAGACCGTATACATGTCTTATTGAAAGATCTAAATGCACCCGTACCCGGACCGTAGCTACCTCGTGGACTAGCTACTCCACCAGAGTAAGCTAAACCTCTACAAATAATCGAAGCTTCTTCGTTATTGAGATTAGCTCCACACATGGTCGCCCAATGGCCGTGATAGTAAACTTCCAGTCGACCTTCGTTATCTTTTCCCCCATTCACCAAAGAAAACAGAGGCTCTGTAATTGAAAAATATAGACGAAATAATAATTTAAAGAATTTATTAAAAGACATTTGAACGAATTGTAGAGTTTTCGCTGCTAAAGTGGTGAAAAATATGTGTTATAACCTTTACTGAGACAACTTTTAATTTCCAAACCTTGCTCCGTGCTGACGAGCCAGAAGTATTAGGGAAAGTTCGTCACATCTTAGGGCACCGGTGGCGATATACGAAAAAGAGTGACATGGTGCCATTTCTTGATAATATTATAATGTGATAAAGAGATGAAAACTTATAAAAGATACAAAGAAAGAAGAGGTAATACCTGGCTCTGCTATTAATCTGGTTAAAGCTGGCATAATTCGCTTCAACTCTTTATTTGTATTAAATATCAGATCTAAGAGAGGACTGGATGGTAAAGAGCTAATATTTCCTTCTCTGACATAATGTTCACCATATGCTGTCTGAGCTCGTCGATTTAGCGAGCTTTCAACCACCTGTTGAGCCTGATTACTTTCTCGTTCTGACGGAGGTTTCAAGTCAAAGATGTTAGAGAAATCCCCGTAGAGATGCTGAGTTATTTCTAAGCTTTTGTTTATTTGCTCTCCCACGGAGCCTACACGTTGGAAGGTATGTGGCATCCAGCCTGTATTCGAGGCAATAATCCGAACCATTTTATGTGTTTCCTTGGTTTGATTGACTAGATCACGAAGTATTTTAGACGTATCTAACGTGTGTCTTTCTATGGGTACCTGCGGTGGGTTCGCCTTCATATCCTGTAGTCTGTAAAGTTCATCTTGTAGCCCAATTAATGTATTGCTTAATGACACTGATGTGTTCAGCACCAACTGTGTCACAACTGTTAGTAATCTGGACTCATTTTTCGAAGCTGTCATAATGTTACTCAGCTCTTTCACTGAAAGTGTACACATTCTATCAGCGATAGGATGCTTTTTCACTATCATTTCTGGTTTTGAGATGGAAGGCGGTGACTTCGACGTTACTTCTAACACCTCCTCTACGTCGTCTGGAAACTCAGTAAAGTTTTGACTTTGAAAATTTGATTTTAAGCCCTCTATTTCCTGTCGGATTTTAATCTGTTCCACCGCCATCGAATCAGTGTTAGTGATTAATTCTTCAAAGAGACCACCTGTGTGCCGGAAGTAACTTACAGACTGAACGATATTGGCTGTCATATTAGATAAAGCTTTGAATAAACGTTCGTTCTCTAATATACTACACTCCACCTTTTGATCTGTATTCTCTTGATTTTCTCGAGGTTTGATTTCCTCCTGTGGTAAAGGATTAATTTTATTAGTCTCTCGTTTTAAATTCTGGGGAACCAACTGTTGGGTTTGGATTACATTTTGTAATTTAGAAACAGACCTAGACACGTTATGTAACTGAACTAGTTCTCTATGAGCAAAATTTCTCATTTCTGAAAAACGAGCGTCAATTTGTCTTTGTAGAGCAGTTGTGTTCACGTCGCACTTAATTGACGATTCAACTGGATTAGTAGGGACATTGCTGGAAGGTGTTGTGCTGGTGTGAGCCAGGGCGATCTTTTCCAGAAGATTTTCTTCAACTATTTCAACAATGTCCTTTATTTGACCAGTTTTCTCATGAACGGATTTGTCAATAGCGGCCATTTCCTTGCTCATATCTTCCATCAGCTGTTTATTGGATTCGGTAAATTCTGAAATATCCTGATCTAAGATATCTACGGCGATTTTGACAGCTCGACTGCCGATATCGAATTGAGTCAGTTTACCATGCACTCCCTGAATGAAGGTATTAACACCGTGTAGATTGTTATTAATAATTTTAAAGTGTCTCAGATTATAAAACTGTAATCCATTCACAGCTGTTTCTAGTGCCGACATCCGCGCACTTAAGGTATCGAATTTTTTATCCACTATATGAAGTAAGGAGGTTAGAATACTCGCTTCGTCTACTTTGAGCAGTTTTAAATCCGGGTTTTCAGTTGACTGACCGCCAACATTTACACACAAAAACACGAAGAACAGTGCATTAAGGAATGTTATCCCTGCGTTTGACATTTGGTTAAATGGATTATGCGTTCTTGTCTTCATTTTGAATTTTATCTGTTAACAATATCCAGAAAATTGTAAAAGGGCACAAATAAATTTAAAAATATGTTTACTATTTTATCAAATTTTAGGAATTTAGACAAAGGTATAATAATCACTAGTTAATGATCCTAATAATATTACAGCACAAATATAATTCCTTTAGAAAATACGATATTAAAATACATATACAAATCCGTGATATCAATAATTGGAATTCTCCTTTTCCCAGATAATAATCTAGTAGATAGAACGATTAGCACTAGATATCACATGTTCTTTTGACCGTATTGAGTCACACAAATGGTCGAGTATTACATCACTTCCTGTTTTTTTTTATATTATGATATGAATTAAAGTTCCAAGAAACACCATAAATCAATGTATTTTATGACAGTTATTTGCACACAAGAATTACTCCACGTCAAGGTTTGTCAGAGGAACACCAGGATTCTTTTACGTATTTCTAATTAAAGTAAACCACATTTTTTCAAGTATTCCTCGGTTGAATATTAAAACCACAATAACTTCACATATTCCTAATTTTGGTCGGATAGTAAACCAACAAATTCTAAATTTCGATCGGATATAAATCCTAATTATTTGACGTATTTCTGATTTCTCTCCTATCTTACACCAGACGTATTTCCAATTCCTAAATCAGATATAAATCCCAAAGTTACATGACGTTAATCTAATTTCGGTCAGGCAGACTGACTCACATATCTAAAGAGTACACCGGTTTGAAATCGGGTCAGATATTTGTTAGAAAGATCACAGGAACACATGTGTATATGCTAAATCCTCTTCTAATGCCACATGTGGCGCACAATCTTCCCAAAGGCAGGAAGGTATAAACATACACTACACATCAACCACAATAAATATATGTCATCCATTTCACACTGTACACAAAGGTAAACATCTGAAAATAAATAGAACTTGTTTAAAGTTTTGTTAACTGGGGAGTAAACATAAGAAAGGAAAATGAATTTTAAATCCGAATATCTTTATCCCTTTTCCCTTTAAATCGATACAGTTTGCAATATTTTTGTCGATTTAAAAGCGATGAGCTACAATTTATGACATAATATTTGCTTTTATCAAGTCGGTAAAAACGAAGTGCCCGAAATGTTTGAAATGCAGAGGAAAAATTCCGTTTGGTATTTGCTTGTACTGTTTTAAACTTACTATCATCGTACCGTTTTTACAAGCCGCTGCCTTTAAGCATATTGAATGGTTGGGTAGAGTCTGGTCAGCTCCTTGACGCCTACGTCCTGCGGAGACTGTAGAACGTTTTATTGTTAGGGGCCATTGCAAACTATTATTTGAATCCATTCTTTGGGGGGTCGGGGGAAAAACTTTTATAAATAAAGGGCCTGAATCCTATATTTCATGCCAATTGAAAAAGCATTAATATTAATGCTTATTTCCACTAAAACATTTGTGATTTTGCCTTGCCTTGTCTGCCCCTCCCCCACACTGCAACTGCTTATATGCTTATATATGTGTCAAGTTGTTGGAAATCAGGGAGTACTATAGAGATTAAAAGTATTTCCCATATAGATTTCACTCTACAACTGGAGTTAATTATTCTATGTTTATAATATAAACTGCAAGGCGTCTACGCCATCTTGATAACAAACTTTTCCAATTAAATACAACACATGTTATTGTGCACGCACATGCATCTCATGAATTTGGCACGTTCAATCTTAACAAATACAACTCAGTAAAAAATACTATGAACCCCTCCCACATTCCCGCTTCATTTTGTTAATCTGGATGAATAGAAGTTTTTTTTCTTTGTTAGGATGCGTTTCACTGTTACATACTTCAATTTAATATAATGAATTATATTGGGCGTGACGTGCAAGGCAAAGCATCTTTACTTTTTTTGATCGTAATAGTTGTTTGTCAAAAACCTTTGAAGAGACATAATGTTAATAAAATAGTCTAACCTAGCTAAATAAGCTTTGTCTATACACTCTCCTAGGCTGTACACGTAAAGATTATTTCAAATTGAAAATGGGAATACGGATGCTATCATTGCACGCCACCCTTTCTATGGACATCCTGCTAGAAATAAACAGATTTTATTTTTATTGATGCAATTTTGTTTAACTGTTTGAATTTGAAAAATCTATGTTATTAATCTGACAACAGGTTTGTATTTACTTCGTAGCACCGAGAATCTTTTTCATTCCGATAAAAACATCAATCGAAAACTTTCTTAATTTACTTTTATTTAAAAATGTCAAGTTGATGGTTGTGTCTAAATTATAGCAATGTGAATCATCCATCAATGATCAATGATCAATGACTAAATTATGCAAATAAAAGCAGCGTAACTTACCCCTACAATTCCTCCTCGTCTTCTCTTCATACAAATATAACAAACTTTCATTCAAATTGAATTTGGCATTACTTCAATTCACGGCGGAATTTTGACAATTTCACCACGCCTTTCGTCTTTAATGAGAATCTTCAGTTCAACTTCTAACATAGCTATTTTAATACATTATTATAACAATAATGACTTTGTGAACCACTTAACCCATACGAAACTTCGTATAGTTCTACATGGAAATAACACGCACGAACGTAGTTCACAGCCATTTTGAAAAAGGCTATAGTCTTTCATCTAAACCTTCAAATCACATTTTAATGCTTCGAAATGGCTTTAATTGTTATTTGAAGGCAATGTTGAAAATTTTAGAGCCGTTTTAAAAATTCGACTTATTAAGTCGAGGTAGAGATTCAAAATGGCTGTGAACTACGCTCGTGTATGTTATTTCATTGTAACGTAGTTTTGTATGCCACTTAACCTAAATTTCAATGATGTGACATTAAGATAACACAGTGTACTCACAGCGTGAAACTCTTAGGCATATTTCAAAACAATTCAACTAACGATGGTTTTAATAAACAATTTCTAAAATCTCATTTTGGGAAATTGAAAAAAAGAAATTCACATTTAGTTTCTATTTGATTATATTTCTATTTCTACATTGAAATCGTACAAATTTAAAATTCGGAATTCTCGGTATCTGGCCTTGTCTTACTGGTTTATGGCAGCTTTTCAACCCAGGAACCCAGAAGATCCGTACTTAAGAAGGTTCGCATACTGAAACAGTTAAGCTGTCTGAAGATCTCTACTTGTCAAAAATCAGTGAAAGCACATACTATAGTTGCCTGACATATCTACTTGACAAATTACAGCAGTAATACAAACTGAAATAGTTCAGCTGCCTGAAAATCTCTACTTGGTAAACTTCAGTAGGAAAGCAGATTGAAATGGTTCAGCTGTCTGAAGATCTCTACTTGACAAAATTCAGTCTAAATGCAGATTGAAATGGTTCAGCTTTCTGAAGATCTCTA